CAAACCAACCGGACACCGTCACCCCGCCGGGAGAACCAGCCAGAACACGTAAAACAAAAAATCTAACAATCCCGTGACCCATGGCGATATATGTGCGCCAGGCGTCGTACAACCGGACTGTTGAATAGGGATGCCAAACGACAGTAGCAAAGCCAAAACCTGAAAACAGAACGTGATCCGGCGGTTCCCAGACGGAGGAGGCGTCCAGACGTCCGCTCGTCGGAGTCCTTACTGCTAGTTGACCGCGGCATTAGGTGTAGGGAAACGTGCCTAACTATTTCTGTCCCGCCCGGAATCCCTCAATTAATATATGTAGAAATAATTGGCAATATGTTATTCATTATTTTATTTTAGTTATCCTTAAATATTTGTCCAAAGAAAGTTTATGAAAGCGTAAGAAATTTGAACGTCAACAAAAAGTAATTTAAGATAAATGAATGATAAAATCTTATATTTAAATTATCTTTAATTTTATGAAGTTAATTTAATATTTATTTATTTTCTATAAAATATTAAAATTATTTAAAAATAATAAATGTTTGTTAAACATTTATATTTAAATATTGAGTCCTGATTATTTAATATGATTATTGCAATAGGCTAAAAAGATTGATACTATATGATTTGATCGACCAGATAGATTTTAAAACTTAACATTTTTGGAAAGTCAACATAAACGTGACTTAATAGTAAAAACAATTATATAATAAATGAACTAAACTAACTCCATACCCATGAGAATACTAATCTTCGGGAGTGGTTGAATATGCTTGAGATAATGATGGTTGAATTGAACTTACAGAGTATTGGGGAAGAATTTCAAGGAATATTTTTTTTATTAACAAGCTTAGGTATACGCAGCAATGTGCTGCTTCCCTATTCTGTGAAAGATTACACAGTGTAGATCAAAAACTAGCTATAAGTTCATCTAATATTGCAATCTCACAGGATGGTATAGTCATACATGGAATCAGGGGAGAAAATACCAGCCTCAATACAAAAACAAATAAACTCTGACCAAATGTAAACTGTCAACAAAATTATTCGCACACCCTCCGTCAATATGTGATGGAGTGCAAAAATATACGTGAATTCAGAGACAATTCTATAACAAATGTTCCAGAGATGTGTAAATACTTCACTCAAAATTATCTGCTACCAGAAATCTTAGCCAAATATCCCCAGTTTGCTAACTGTAGGTAGTAACTAAGTGATTGTAACCTATCCACCGCTGCCCACTGGATGGGGGGCGGTGTGCAGGACAAACATATGAATTGTGACAAGCTCTCTACATATGTTAGTTGCTTAATTTAGAAACTGTACTTGTGGTCGATCTCGAACCCAATAATGATGTGACGATGGCTATTGAGTTTTCTAACTAGCTCATCTAGATTGTAACTTGCTTAGCTAAATAAATTGTGGGGTTCAGTCCCTGAGCCCATTATGTGCCTCTGTAACCCTTTCCACTGCCGCCCACAAGATGGGTATGGGGTGCATAATAAATGAACTGAACTAACTAAACTCTAACTAAAAATCAGATGAGAACATAAAATGTAAGGCTGATCTATTAACCTCCACTAGCAAAATCTGAGTACAGCACAAGAATATCTTCCAATATTCCTGGGTGTATGAAGTAATTAGAACTCAAAGTACCTCATACCATTTAGTCTGAAGTTACTGATAACAGGACAATCACAGATATAATGTTGGAGAGTATGTCCCAGCTCTTGGTACTGGGGGAGGAGGGGGCACTCTGGGGGTGTTTATGGTAGGGCTCCGGTGGTGTTTATGGTAGGGCTCCGGTGGTGTTTATGGTAGGGCTCCGGTGGTGTTTATGGTAGGGTTCCGGTGGTGTTTAAGGTAGGGCTCCGGTGGTGTTTATGGTAGGGCTCCGGAGGTGTTTATGGTAGTGCTCCGGGGGTGTTTATGGTAGGGCTCCGGGGGTGTTTATGGTAGGGCTCCGGAGGTGTTTATGGTAGGGCTCTGGGGGTGTTTATGGTAGTGCTCCGGAGGTGTTTATGGTAGTGCTCCAGGGGTGTTTATGGTAGTGCTCCAGGGGTGTTTATGGTAGGGCTCCGGTGGTGTTTATGGTAGGGCTCCGGGGGTGTTTATGGTAGGGCTCCGGGGGTGTTTATGGTAGGGCTCCATGGGTGTTTATGGTAGGGCTCCGGGGGTGTTTATGGTAGGGCTCCGGGGGTGTTTATGGTAAGGCTCCGGTGATGTTTACGGTAGGGCTCCGGGGGTGTTTATGGTAGTGCTCCGGGGGTGTTTATGGTAAGGCTCCGGTGATGTTTATGGTAGGGCTCCGGGGGTGTTTATAGTAGGGCTCCCGAGGTGTTTATAGTAGGGCTCCGGGGGTGTTTATGGTAGGGCTCCGGTGGTGTTTATGGTAGGGCTCCGGAGGTGTTTATGGTAGTGCTCCGGAGGTGTTTATGGTAGGGCTCCAGGGGTGTTTACGGTAGGGCTCCGGGGGTGTTTATGGTAGGGCTCCGGGGGTGTTTATGGTAGGGCTCCGGGGTGTTTATGGTAGGGCTCCGGTGGTGTTTACGGTAGGGCTCCGGGGGTGTTTATGGTAGGGCTCCGGGGGTGTTTATGGTAGGGCTCCGGGGGTGTTTATGGTAAGGCTCCGGTGATGTTTATGGTAGGGCTCCGGGGGTTTTTATGGTAGGGCTCCGGGGTGTTTATGGTAAGGCTCCGGTGATGTTTACGGTAGGGCTCCGGGGGTGTTTATGGTAGTGCTCCGGGGGTGTTTATGGTAAGGCTCCGGTGATGTTTACGGTAGGGCTCCGGGGGTGTTTATAGTAGGGCTCCCGGGGTGTTTATAGTAGGGCTCCGGGGGTGTTTATGGTAGGGCTCCGGTGGTGTTTATGGTAGGGCTCCGGAGGTGTTTATGGTAGGCTCCGGAGGTGTTTATGGTAGGGCTCCGGGGGTGTTTACTGTAGGGCTCCGGGGGTGTTTATGGTAGGGCTCCGGGGGTGTTTATGGTAGGGCTCCGGGGGTGTTTATGGTAGGGCTCCGGTGGTGTTTATGGTAGGGCTCCGGGGGTGTTTATGGTAGGGCTCCGGGGGTGTTTATGGTAGGGCTCCGGGGGTGTTTATGGTAGGGCTCCGGGGATGTTTATGGTAGGGCTCCGGGGGTGTTTATGGTAGGGCTCCGGGGGTGTTTATGGTAGGGCTCCGGGGGTGTTTATGGTAGGGCTCCGGGGGTGTTTACGGTAGGGCTCCGGGGGTGTTTATGGTAGGGCTCCGGGGGTGTTTATGGTAGGGCTCCGGGGGTGTTTATGGTAGGGCTCCGGGGGTGTTTAAGGTAGGGCTCCGGGGGTGTTTATGGTAGGGCTCCGGTGGTGTTTATGGTAGGGCTCCGGGGGTGTTTATGGTAGGGCTCCGGGGGTGTTTATGGTAGGGCTCCGGGGGTGTTTTCGGTAGGGCTCCGGGGGTGTTTATGGTAGGGCTCCGGGGGTGTTTATGGTAGGGCTCCGGGGGTGTTTATGGTAGGGCTCCGGGGGTGTTTATGGTAGGGCTCCGGGGGTGTTTATGGTAGGGCTCCGGGGGTGTTTATGGTAGTGCTCCGGGGGTGTTTATGGTAGGGCTCCGGGGGTGTTTATGGTAGGGCTCCGGGGGTGTTTATGGTAGGGCTCCGGGGGTGTTTATGGTAGGGCTCCGGGGGTGTTTATGGTAGGGCTCCGGGGGTGTTTATGGTAGTGCTCCGGGGTGTTTATGGTAGTGCTCCGGGGGTTTATGGTAGTGCTCCGGGGGTGTTTATGGTAAGGCTCCGGGGGTGTTTATGGTAGGGCTCCGGGGGTGTTTATGGTAGGGCTCCGGGGGTGTTTATGGTAGGGTTCCGGGGGTGTTTATGGTAGGGCTCCGGGGGTGTTTATGGTAGGGCTCCGGGGGTGTTTATGGTAGGGCTCCGGGGGTGTTTATGGTAGGGCTCCGGGGGTGTTTATGGTAGGGCTCCAGGGGTGTTTATGGTAGGGCTTCGGGGGTGTTTATGGTAGTGCTCCGGGGGTGTTTATGGTAGGGCTCCGGGGGTGTTTATGGTAGGGCTTCGGGGGTGTTTATGGTAGTGCTCCGGGGGTGTTTATGGTAGGGCTCCGGGGGTGTTTATGGTAGGGCTCCGGGGGTGTTTATGGTAGGGCTCCGGAGGTGTTTATGGTAGGGCTCCGGGGTGTTTATGGTAGGGCTCCGGGGGTGTTTATGGTAGGGCTCTGGGGGTGTTTATGGTAGGGCTCCGGGGGTGTTTATGGTAGGGCTCTGGGGGTGTTTATGGTAGGGCTCCGGGGTGTTTATGGTAGGGCTTCGGGGGTGTTTATGGTAGGGCTCCGGGGGTGTTTATGGTAGGGCTCCGGGGGTGTTTATGGTAGGGCTCCGGGGGTGTTTATGGTAGTGCTCCGGGGGTGTTTATGGTAGGGCTCCGGGGGTGTTTATGGTAGGGCTCCGGAGGTGTTTATGGTAGGGCTCCGGGGGTGTTTATGGTAGGGCTCCGGGGGTGTTTATGGTAGGGCTCCGGGGGTGATACTGTAGGGCTCCCGGTTGTATTGTTTTGGTAGAGCAGCGGTGCCATTTTTTAATTTAGTATAGTTCTGAAGTATTTTTTTTAGGACTCTGAAGACATTTCCTTTTTTTTGAAGAGGTTTGGGGGGTGTTTTTATGAGAGGCTCTTGGATGTTTTAATTTTTTATATAGTGCTCCGGGGGTATTTTTTTTTGTTTTGTTTTTTGACTGGTGGATGCTTTGTCAGGATTTCCATTTTTTTTGTCATGGTTCCGTATTTTTTTTTTGGTAGGACTCTAGTGATTTTTTTTTTTTTAGAGCTCCGGGGATTTTTCGTACACTATAATAAACTGTGGTAGTACGGGATATAGTCACTTGCACCGTACACAGGTATAATACAAATACGGCATGTTTAATACCGTATTATAATACTCTTGTCATGCTTGTCATGTCGTGTATTACGTCCAGGGCGTCATCGTGACGTCAGCGGAGGCGGCTCTGACGTCGGGGTAGTGACGAGGTGACAGTGACCCACGGGCCCTCAGACGTCTCTCACACGGGCCCTCAGGACCACCAGACGTCTCTCACACGTCAGGGGGTGACGAGGGACAGTGCCACGGGGACGTCCTCACACGGGGACCACACGTCTTCACACGTCAGGGGGGCCACGGATCCTGGGGAACATTTACACGTCAGGGGGTGACGAGGACCCTTCCCCCCCATGCTTAGGTGAGGGGGGCCCTAACCCCAGTAACAGGGTGTGTTGGGGGGGGGACGAGGGCCCTCTAATGTCAGGGTGAGGCAGGGTCTCCCCCAGTGTGAGGGTGAGGCAGGGTCTCCCCCCAGTGTGAGGGTGAGGCAGGGTCTCCCCCCAGTGTCAGGGTGAGGCAGGGTCTCCCCCCAGTGTCAGGGTGAGGCAGGGTCTCCCCCCAGTGTCAGGGTGAGGCAGGGTCTCCCCCAGTGTGAGGGTGAGGCAGGGTCTCCCCCAGTGTCAGGGAGAGGCAGGGTCTCTCCCCAGTGTCAGGGTGAGGCAGGGTCTCCCCCAGTGTGAGGGTGAGGCAGGGTCTCCCCCCAGTGTGAGGGTGAGGCAGGCTCTCCCCCAGTGTGAGGGTGAGGCAGGGTCTCCCCCAGTGTGAGGGTGAGGCAGGGTCTCCCCCAGTGTGAGGGTGAGGCAGGGTCTCCCCCCAGTGTGAGGGTGAGGCAGGGTCTCCCCCAGTGTGAGGGTGAGGCAGGGTCTCCCCCCAGTGTGAGGGTGAGGCAGGGTCTCCCCCAGTGTGAGGGTGAGGCAGGGTCTCCCTCCAGTGTCAGGGTGAGGCAGGGTCTCCCCCCAGTGTCAGGGTGAGGCAGGGTCTTCCCCCAGTGTCAGGGTGAGGCAGGGTCTCCCCCAGTGTCAGGGTGAGGCAGGCTCTCCCCCCAGTGTCAGGGAGAGGCAGGGTCTCCCCCCAGTGTCAGGGTGAGGCAGGGTCTCCCCCCAGTGTCTGGGTGAGGCAGGCTCTCCCCCAGTGTGAGGGTGAGGCAGGGTCTCCCCCAGTGTGAGGGTGAGGCAGGCTCTCCCCCAGTGTCAGGGTGAGGCAGGCTCTCCCCCCAGTGTCAGGGTGAGGCAGGGTCTCCCCCCAGTGTGAGGGTGAAGCAGGGTCTCCCCCAGTGTCAGGGTGAGGCAGGCTCTCCCCCCAGTGTCAGGGTGAGGCAGGCTCTCCCCCCAGTGTCAGGGTGAGGCAGGCTCTCCCCCCAGTGTCAGGGTGAGGCAGGCTCTCCCCCCAGTGTCAGGGTGAGGCAGGCTCTCCCCCAGTGTCAGGGTGAGGCAGGCTCTCCCCCAGTGTCAGGGTGAGGCAGGGTCTCCCCCCAGTGTCAGGGTGAGGCAGGGTCTCCCCCCAGTGTCAGGGTGAGGCAGGGTCTCCCCCCAGTGTCAGGGTGAGGCAGGCTCTCCCCCCAGTGTCAGGGTGAGGCAGGCTCTCCCCCAGTGTCAGGGTGAGGCAGGCTCTCCCCCCAGTGTCAGGGTGGACAGACACCCAGTGTCTGTCCCAATAATAAAATATTATTCATTATTGGGGGACAGGCAGCCGGAGTGTATTCATACACGTTAGGCATATATCGAGGTCGCTCATCAAGGTAATTCGACCTAATTCAAGGTCTAATTACTGACCCTCGCCCAGGATGCAACCCCACAACAAGCCGACTAACTTTTGAGTACCTATATACTGCAAGTGAACAGAAGCTTTGGGTGATAGGGAATGTACCCAATCAGTTCTGTCCCGCCTGGGATTCGAACAAAGAATTCTCGATTGTGAGTCGAGAATGAACCCGACTGTACTATCGGTACCCTAAACAGATATTATTATTTTACTTTACCTATTAATATCAGATCTTAACTGTCAGTGATTCCATTGGAATGAGTTACTGTACTTGGTTTATTTTTAGGTCATTCAGTACATAAATGGCACTAAAGAATACTAATGCACCTTGCTCCTGTGTCCAGTAATATGAAATCCTAGTGGTTCCTGAGAAGTGGGCCGCCAAACATTGGGATATCTGATGCTTATCTCGGATACCCATGGCTCCAGACACCCATGAGGCCAAACATCTGGAAACCAGATATGATATATTCTAGCAGCATTGCCTAATAGTATGGAAATGGAGATACTGTACTGTATAATGTATACCATAATATACTAGATTACATAGGTAAAATTCCCTTACCTATGGATATGTTTTTCTGTCTGGAGACCAGTTCCTGGGTGCTTGTACACCTGGATGTTCTGCAAAACTTCATATTCCTTCACTTTCTGGTTGATATTTAATTGAATGTTTTTATGCACAGCTCCTGTTCCAGTGTCATTTTGTTGAACAATGTCTTTAGATTCATGCTGTATATTTTTGCAGTACAGCTTATATATTTAAATATAGGTTATTCAACAATGAAATTAATAGTTTTCATTAGTGTCTGGAGACTAGTGACCTTACCTTACAAAGCATTCCTATGAAGTGACTCCCCTACCCTGCTGTCTGGAGGCGAGAAGGCTAGCTATCTCTACCAGATGACAGAAGCACTACATATAAGCACTAACCCAGCTTTGATTTTGTCATATGATGTAGTTTTCTATTTGAATTTCTTTATATTTCTTTGAAAATACAGGATCCCACCTCTCAACCCCCCCTGACAGCATCTACTTTGCTACACTGGTAGGGAAGTGATATGACAAGATTTGGTAGGGGCTCAAGTGCTTTATATTATCCAAGCAGGCTCTGCTAGTGGGAGTTTATGGCATCTGGTATGGTTTCCACTGCCAAATTGGCTGAGCTGGAATACCCATACTAGTTACCAGGCTAGCTGCCAGATGGGTCACCTGTGTGGCTGCCCTGTGTTGGATTACTATATTACTTATATTCTTGACAGGGAGAACAGGGTGACAGTCTTTGAATTGATGTGTGCAAACTTAGATCACCATACCGAGTATTTTTTAGAGCATTTTTCTGATAATTACTTTGTAGTTAAGTCTTCCCTAATAAAAATTGGTTGCTTCTCTGATAATGAGGCACCCCCATCTCACATGGATAAATGCTCTTCCCCCTTTATTGCCCTTGTAACTGAAGTTCCATGACCCCATAGTCGAAATACCATATTGTTTCTTCTTCTTATTTGTATATTGATGCCTTGGCATCTCGGCTGGACATGGGGTAGAATTCTTCCACAGTTCAAACTTGAACACCAGTGTGATTTACATTACTGCGTCTCTGCTGGAAAAATTAACAAAATTACATCACTTCTCATTATTTAATTTACATAATATAGTAATATGAAATTGACTACAAAGCCATCAAACCTTTTGGAAATGTAATTCTGGAAGTGCATCAAAATAATTTGCAAAATAAAAAGAAAGGAAATCTACAAGAAGCAATCATTAATGGCATTTATCCTAATAAATACTCTAGAAAGTTTACAGTCCGCAGAGACTGTCTAAATACACTTGGTACATACCATAAAGACATGGGGTGATACTGTTCTACCTTAAAAAAAAAATGTACATCTAACCCAATGCTGTACTGTAGTTTCAAACCTAACGGCAAAAACATGATAATAGACAATATAAATTTGTAAAGGTGTGCACATACTGTACTAGGAAAGAGTTGTGGGAGAGATACCATATGAATATTTGAGATACAATAGGTGCATTCTCCTTCGGGCAAAACCTCAAACCAAACGACAGATACTCCTTAATTAATAACCTGCATACATATGTCACATTAAGAAAATCCTTCCAACTTGTATAAAATGGGGGAAAGTATATTATGTGAACTCTCACAACTTGACAGAGAACAAATTTTGGGTATATACCCCAATTTTATCTTCAGTAAATAATACTAATGGCTTTACTTATATAATTGTCATCAACTTCACTACCCTCTCATATCCTGGACTGAATCAGGACAGGCATTTTCTCTCTTTAGTGGAATAGACAATCCCCTATCCTGTGCTAAAAATGGATACCACCCCACCTTCAACTAAAATGGATACGGCATTGTGAAGAAGAGGTTTAAAAATTAAAGCAGACATAGAATATGTCATTCTCAAAGAACTTTCATGTTTACTAACTAGAGGCAGAGGTGGTTGTTACAGTATTGCCTATAATGAGCATTCAATATGATATTGCTTTCCCCTCCACTCTCGATTGAAAATCCCTAGTTCGATCTCCACATGGAACAGAAATGGTTAGACATGTTTCACCTGTTGCCTCTGTTCACTTAGCAGTAAATAGGTACTGTATGTACTGTACTCAGCAGTTAGGCAACTGTTGTGGGTTTTATCCTGGGGAAGATCAGGCCTTATGGTTCTGTTGTGCATAAGTATTCTTTGCCATTCTGTTTGACCTTACTGCTTGGGAATCAAGCAGCCATGGTGGTAAACCTAACTTGAAGGTGGTCTGTAGTTCAAAGGTTTCCATGGGGCTAGAAGAGTAATAACTTTTTATTTAAGTATTACCAGTGAGAGTAACAGAGACTGAATTTACAGTCAACACTGGAACAGGATACCATTTTGTGTTATATTAATACTATGCAAATGACCCCCATTAGGGTGCCAGAGAGAGATTTATAATCAGTATTAACATAAATTTCCATCTTTACTTTCAGTCATTCATCTGTTGAAATTGGTTACCGATGAAGTTTTATTTAAGAGAGCTGATAAACAGAAGTAGATGTATTGTTAACAGCAGGAACCTTCAGGTACTAGGAAGACACAAGATGTACAGAATGAGTAGTAGGTAAGTGCTGCTTACGTACATTCTTAATTAAGTAAGAGTAATACTATTGGCAACTGTCTTTGAAATGTACATTACAATACATTTTGAATAATTAGCCAATTTTTGTCATTTTAATGTTTGTAGTGTCTGTATGCAGTGCTATGAATGGTATGGAATCTCTGGCAACTGCAAGACTGTATTTACTATTTATGTCTGCAGAATTGAGCTATTAGCTCTTGGATCCCGGCCTTTCTAACCAATCTGTTTTTCTTCTATTATATCTACTACTGTACATATATTTCTCTTTAACACACACATACACACATTCCCAGGAAGTAGCCTGTAGCAGCTGTCTAACTCCCAGGTACCTATTTGCTATTAGGTGAACAGGAACATCAGGGTGAGAGAAACTCTGCCCATTTGCTTCTGCTTCGGCCGGGAATCGAACCCGGGGCATTAGGACTATGACCCCCAAGTGCTGTCTACTCGGCCGCGAGGCCCCTCCATTGTCAAATGCTGTACAAGATGTTATTATATTTGCCATCAAATTAGTGCAGCAATAAAGTGTAATCATTTTGCGTCAACAGCAGTAACACAGGTTGAATGTATCAGTGCGCAATGCAGCGCTGTAAACCATCTGTGTGATGTGTTGAACATTTTTTTTTCATTTTGGGGAAGGGGTCCCTGACTAAAGGCAGAAAGCTATAAAATTGGTTTAATAATCTATCCTCTATTTATAATGTTTCATTTATGTAATTACCTGTAAATTATTATTGTTAATATGATTGTTAGAATAAGATTGCATCTTGGATTTGTGAATGTTGTTTTATGGCTAGATGGTCAATGAAAGGGAATATATTATTACAATATTCCATGGATTATAAATTCCTTGACACTGGAGAACTTTATTCAAACCAATGGCTCACCTACACCAAGATTTGTTTGGAAGCCTTGTAAAGGAGGGATGAGTTAGGTATTTTTGTCTCTTGCAGGTAAGTGGCTCACAGGGGGCCTCATACCAGTTAACTATTGAAGTGCATTCATGGGTAGTGTAATGCTTCAAACCCTCAGTAAATAGAAATTCTCATACTCACTCCTCACTTTTGAGATTGTTTCTAGTTAGGATCTTTGATGCTTGTAGAGCAACATGCTCATGTTAGTATGGAAGATATGAAGCAAAAGATGAGTTAGCAATAGGAATACAATAGGCTACATTTGTAAACATAGTACAGTAGTAAGCAATACTAATTTTGTTTATATCTATGGTATATCTGCAGGGAAAAGCATGATGGTGTTACTCCAAAGAGGGTGGCAGTGACGCAGATGACTGCTACTCAAGACAAAGAAGCAAATTTTAACACTTGTGTTGACTTAGTGAAGAGAGCAGCAGGATCAGGAGCTCAGGTGGGCACCATGTGCTTGGAGAAAGCTATAAAATAGGTTTAATATTAATGTATTAAATCAATTTTATAGTTAAATAATGTACAGTAGTATATATTAACTTATGAATATTGCAGTGTCATTGACACTTGTCACTTGTCATAGATCTTAGGTTTCTTTTCTTTATAATGTTCTTGTTTTTAATTAGATTGAAAGATACAGTATATTTGTCTTTATTTTTTTGGTGATTAATATTTTTAGAATGATTAAATAAATCATTTTTTATCTTAAAGATGGTGTTTCTTCCTGAAGCTTGTGACTATATTGCTGAGTCAAAGGAAGATTCTGTTCAGCTTGCAGAATCTATTCATGGACCACTGGTGTCTAAATATCAAGAGTTGGCAGCATCGGTGCATGTTTGGTTATCACTAGGGGGACTTCACATTAAGGTAACAACAATTTTATCATTTCATCATTTGTATGTAAAGTGAATATATTTACCTAAATTTACCTGTGGGCCACTAATACTAGTGGCCTCGATGAGGACAGAAAGCTGGCAGCTTGTCAAAGTTTTTTTTTTTTTTTTTTTGAGATATATACAAGAGTTGTTACATTCTTGTACAGCCACTAGTACGCGTAGCGTTTCGGGCAGGTCCCTGGAATACGATCCCCTGCCGCGAAGAATCGTTTTTTCATCCAAGTACACATTTTACTGTTGCGTTAAACAGAGGCTACAGTTAAGGAATTGCGCCCAGTAAATCCTCCCCGGCCAGGATACGAACCCATGACATAGCGCTCGCGGAACGCCAGGCGAGTGTCTTACCACTACACCATGGAGACTGTAAAGGACTGTAAAGGTCTGCCCATTTGCCCTGATGATCTTTTCCAGCTGTATTTTAGAAACCCAGCAGAGTTTTGGCGTTTATGGCTTCAGCAGGTAGGCAGTTCCACGGGTTTACAACCCCATGGGTGAAAAAGCATCTCCTGTTTACTGTTTTACATTGTGGCTTGTTAAGCTTGAACCCATTGCTCCTTGTTTGTGTTACATCTGACCTTTTGAAGAAATTGTTCGGATCGACATCCTCCAAATTGTTCAGTATTTTAAAGGTTTCGATGAGATACGCCCTGTCATGCCTGGTTTGCAGTATTGTTAGTCCTGTGGCCCTCAAATGTTCCTGATAAGAGAGATGACTAAGCTCTATGGATGATTTTTGTTGCCCAGTGTTGCACCTTTTCCAGAGCAGCTATTTCTTTCTGAAGATGAGGTCTCCATGCCTGGATGCAATAATCCAGGTGGGGGCACACCAGAGGCTTGTACAATTGAATGACTACCTTATTTTCCTTAAAGATAAAGGTATGCTTGATTATTACCAGGGTTTGGCTCGCTTTTTTTTTTTACTGCCGCTCCCACTTGTTGTGCAACTTTTAATGAATGATGGATTCTGACTCAGTCTTTTTCTTCATCTATCTGTTGTAAGGTAGCACTGTCAGTTTGGTAGTTGTGATGTGGATTGTTATGCCCCACATGCAAGGTCTTGCATTTATTGACATTAAAAAGCATTTGCCAGTCATCTTACCACTTGTGGAGTTCATGTAGTTCTCTTTGTAAAGTCACAATATCACTTTTATTTCCCACTTTACCATAGATCTTAGTGTCATCTGCAAATTTGATGATGTGGTTTGTAATATTCTCATAAAACATTCTATGTTTTAACCATTGTTTTATCCATTCCAATATTCTCCCATTTATTCCATGTGCCTGTAATTTCTCTGCTAGTCTTTCATGTGGTACCTTGTCAAAAGCTTTAGCATAGTCCATGTAAGCTACATCTACTGAGTCTTTTGTGTGAATAGCCGGTTACCGTTTCCAGAAATGAGCATGTTTGTAAGGCATGATTTATTTTTAAAAACCCATGCTGTGTTGATTTTACAAGATTGTTATCTGTGAGATGTTGTTTGATTTCCTCCCTTAGGATTCTCATCATGCTTGCAGATGTGCAATGTCAAGCTGATCGGACGGTAGTTTTCTGCTGAGCTCTTTCTGCCTTTTTTGAAAATAGGGGTAACTGATTATTTCCAATCCAGGGAAACTATTCCTTAGTCCAGGGATTTTCTGAAAAAGAGTTTCGGAGGTATGCATAGTACATTTTGCCAGTTAATTTGCTGAGTATCTTTACTTTCTTTCCTTAACCCTAGGCTGCTCTTGCAATTATAGCCTGCAACATGCCCATGTGCAAGAATTTTTTTTTATTTTTATTTTTTTTTCTTAAAAAAGTGTTCATTTGTGTTCACTGATCACGGGAAAAATAACAAAAAAATTGTAGGTGGCATATTTTAGCCACAATAGGGCGGGGAGGTCTGGCAAAAAAGAGGCGTTGACAGAGCAAGTTCTGGAGGAGGTTTGCTCCGCCCGAGCTGTCAGGCGAAAGTTGCCACAAAGATATTTTTACCTAATTATTTCAATATGTCTGATTTTTTCTTTGTTGTTTTGCAATAATATTATTCAATAGTGTGTAGTGTGATATATTTATATGATAAAATGTGTGAACCAACTGTACAACTAAGCTGGTATGATAAGTCAAGACAATAATTGAGGTTGCCACACAGTGAGCTGATGCTTCCTCCCTCACTCGCCAACATTACTACTCACACTATACTGTTTGTGCTGTTTTTACACTATATACACACATTATATATAAGTATCTACATGTTTTGTTCACTATAACTGTACAACTAAGGTGGTATGGTGAATTCAGACAATAACAGTGGTCACCACACAGAGTCGGCTGATGCTTCCCTCCCTCCCTCACTCATTCAAGGCTAGATGCACTAACACTCCTCCTCCAACCATACTGTTTGTGGTGTTATTACACTATATACACACATTATTTATAAGTATCTACATGTTTTATTCACTATAACTGTACAACTAAGCTCATATGATGTCCAAACAACATAGTGGTCACAACAAAATTGCATGACAAGAGACAGCAGCCAGCAGATGATGCCACCTCCGTCACCAAAATGGCTCCTCCCAATCCACTCCTTTTGCTGTTATTTCACTATATACACATGTTATATATAAGTATCTACATTTGTGTTCATCATAGCAAACCACTAAGCTGGTATGGAGAGTGCAGACAATAACAGGTGGCCACAGAGTCAGCAGATGCTACCTCCCTCAGCATCATTCATCCCACCACACTATGCACAGCAAATTATCACAACAATCCTGCTATTATCAGAATCCTGGTCGTTTTTATCAGTCAGGGGTTTTCAGTAATACTGTACTATCATCGCTAAATAATACCAATTACATGTTTATTTTTACAATTTTAGGCGATGCTGTGGTCACAAGCTGAACAGCAGTGCTGTTAGCTCATGCTGTGTGTGCCAGCCTTAGTGGCTCACTCAGTACTGAGGCTCTCACACCCGGGAATGTTGCCCATGATTTTTTTAAATGGCGTTTGTCTACAAGAGCCCTGAGGAAGCTGATGTGAACCCCTGTGTAGCTGTGGGACTTTTAAATCTTGCTTGGTACTCCAACACATCAATAGCTGTGGTACGCAATTCCGCAACAGTTAGTCATCACAGCTATTGATGTATTGCGCAGTTTAAGGGTTAAGTTGCTTTGCTATTTTCCTCTGGGTTGTTGCTTTCCCACCTCATGAAAATGAGAAATAGGGCACTGCAGATCATGACAATTTTAACAAATCATTCTTTTAAGCTTTGTATTTTGCATTTGTAGTTCTTTTAGTGAAAGTGAATGTATAGCATGACAAGTGCAGCAAGGTGATGGAGGCATTCATGTATCACCCTCATTACTTTTCATTGGCTAACATAATTGTTTGTTTAACAATACAGTATTTTGCTGCAATTTATACATATTTGTATATAGTGTAAATATATATATATGATTTAAATTATTTTCATTTATGCTAATTTGTTGTATTATGCATATTTATCATCAGGAGGAAGGAGAAGATAAACTACATAATACCCACATAGTGATAGATGACAAAGGCAAGATTGTGTCTATCTACAGCAAAGTGCATCTCTTCAGTGTACATATTCCAGAGCGGAACTTACATCTTGAGGAAAAGGGCTATGTGTGCTCTGGCAAGTCGATACGTCCTCCCGTCTCTACCCCAGTGGGGGAGGTTGCTCTCTCTATTGTATCCTTTTCAATAATTGGCTGTGTTAGTACATTATTGTAGTATATAGTGTAGTACATGTACTATATTGGTATTGCTGTTTTTATAAATACAGTGGTACCTCGCATAACGAATTTAATCCGTTCCATGTTCGTCATGTGAAACGGACGTCATACAAAACGAGTGTCCCCCCATGTAACCAGTGTGATGCACTGTGTTTATTGTGGAATTTCCCCAGAGTGCATGACATCAAATGTTCCCCAAAATAAAATTTTTCTTTGTAAAATGATAAATTACCGTCCCTGAACATGTCTATGTAAAAATAATTACCAAATTCCACTTACTTTGGCTGTGAGGGCGTGGACAAGGTGCGCTGTGACGTCATCAGGGCCTGGTCGCCCGTGTGTGAAGCTCCCAGACACGGTCGCGCAGGCCATTCAAGCACCGCGTGTTGCCACAAATATATTTTCAAATATTTTTCTATGCATTTCCAATGCAGTTTTATTTGTTTCATTTATCGTATATGATGCATATTTGTGACCTTTACAATATGTATACAGTAGAATGTTCATAATTTTCCATGAAACTGTGATACATGTGTCAGTAATGTGTCCACAATAAATGTTTATTGTCACAATATTACGTGGTAAAAATTCACTAATATTACAATATGTACAGTTTCACATACTATTTACACAGTAACACACTGTATTACACACTCAGTACTTTGGAGGTGCATAATAGTCAACGAAGTAGTCCATGGTACACAGCGCGACTTTGCTCTCCTTGCACCAGCTACAGATAGATTTTTGCTTCCTGTTTCATCGTTATGTGTGCTTGCAAATAACGCACTTGCGTGCACCCTTGGCTTTAGTACTTGTAGGTGGTATGTAGCCAAGCTTGTAAAGCATAAGGTAGTATTGAAACGATTATAGGAAAAGCTCAATTTGTAAGGTAGTCTTGAAAAGATCGCTTTGTAAGGTCCCACACAGGAAGAGATTCAGCTAGCCTCAAAGAGTGTCCATCAGTCAGGAAGAGATTCAGCTAGCCTCAAAGAGTGTCCATCAGTCAGGAAAAGATTCAGGTATTCTTGTAAATATCAATGAACACCACCACCATGGAAGCCGCTAACACTGTTAATCTATGCTACTTGTATCAGATGCATCATCACTGAACGCAGAAAACGATTCATCTATGTATCATCTATATACATTAGAGATGGCAAGGGTGGGGCTCAGAGCTACACCTGGATACGCTTGCTGTATCATCCTCATAGGTGCTGTATCACTGGCATCCGACCGTTGTGTTAAGCCCGTATTGCGCCTAGCTTCACCAATGTTATGACCCTTATGTTCTTCAAACAAAAGGGTCTGAATTGCACCGACTGAGCACAGTCTTTCAACACCGTGTGGGACAGGTGTTTGAGAGCCAGAGGCACGTGTGCCACAAATGGTTGCTCACGCAGTACTAACCCAGCCAGCAGCCCTTGTCTTTCATATTCGTTATGGCAAAAGGTTCATTCAGTTTTTGTTGGGTAGGCTGCTCCATTATGACAATCTTTCTTTGTTTCAAATGTGTTCCATTTGTTTTGTATTTGTCACTTACGTCTCAATAATGGAGCAGCCTACCCGACAAACACTGAACGAACCTTTATGACATTTGTCCATTTTTCAAATTGTTTCAACAGTTCTTTTATTTTCCGTTTTTTTTTTTTTTTTTTTAAGAAACCTGTAGACCACCGAACGAACCTTTTTGACATTTGTACTGGTTTTCAAAATTCTTCATTTCTTTTATTATTTACGTTTTTTGTATGTAAGAAACATGGAGCAGCCTACCTGCCGACCACCGAACGAACCTTTTGCTATAAGGCAAATGAAAAATAAATATTGAACACATTTGAAGAAAGGAAAATGTCATAATGGTTTATTCAGTGTATGTAAGGTAGGCTTCTCCATTATTGAGACGCAAATGACAAATAAAAAACAAATGGAACACATTTGAAACAAAGAAAGATTGTTATAATGGAGCAGCCTACCTGCCGAACACCGAACGAACCTTTTTGACATTTGTTGTATATCAGACATTTCATTTCTTTTTTCCTACAAAAACGTCAATGCTTTGCAACATCTCAGTAGTCACCCTTTTATATCCCAGCATCATTAGCATCTTTAAACAAGAACAACATAATTTATGTGCATCGTCGGAGGCGTCTAAGAATGTGCAAGAAGCAGCGCGACCCCACCATGTGGTGTTGACGTTATTCAAACCAGCGTTCGTCATAAGGGACGATTTGACGCCGATCGGGCCGTTCGTTACCCAAAATATTCGTCTTTTGGGGCAATCGTTATGCGAGGTACCACTGTATACTGTATATACATTTTTAGATATTTCTGATAATTATGATAGACCTTCACCATTCCAATTATTAAGTTTATGAAGGTGTGATCATTATGAATGAATAGTGTGGATCAGTAGTCAAGTGGTAGCTGTTCCAGATTAGTGTGGGGAGATTGTACCGAGTTAGTGAAGTTCAACAATCGAGTTGTGGTTATACTTGGTTAGTTATTTTTATATGTTGAGATTTATATGTGAGCCTTTAAACTTTTCCATTACCACTCACAGGGTAGGCATGAGGGGCAAAACAATTGAACTACACTGTAAAACTGGCCAGGCACTGGAATTGGGTTATTCAGCAATATGAGTATTATTTTTGGGTGGGTGGAGGAGGGGTTGTTGTGTACACTGCCCATTGATTTTCCCATTATTTGGTGGTAGACAATGTGCCAGGCTGGCACATTGTCTTTAAAGGTATATCACTGTGGGAAGAGTAGAACGTTTGAGCACATTGTCTTAAACTCGATGACTCTGTTCACCTAGCAGTGAATAGGTGCCTATGAGTTAGGCAACTGTTGTAGGTAGCATCCTGGGGCTGGTCAGTTGTTGGCCAATTGGCATGCCTCTATAAGCCTAACAGGCTTCCTATCCCCCAATAATGGACAATTAATATTTTAAATTCACTTCAAGTAATTTTCTTTTGTATGACTATACTGTAACTCTGGTTTGTTCTAAAAACTCGACTAGTTCATATGTACGTACAGTACTCACCTATTTGCAGGGAAATCTTTAACTACTACAGTATTATATTTTGTGTGTGTAATGTTTATCAAAGTATCGTAGCATCTTTGTGCCTGCAGGATCGAGCATTGACTCTTGAATCCCGCCTTTCTACCCATCGGTTGTTTACGGCAATGACTCTGGTCCTAATTTCCCTATCATATCTAGTTTTAAAATTATGAATATAGTTTGCTTCCACACCCTGTTTCTTAAGTGCATTCCATTTTTCCACTACTCATACTAAAAGAAAACTTCCTGACATCTCTGTGTCTCGTCCGAGTTTCCAGCTTCCACCCATGTCCCCTCGTTCTGTTAGTATTACGTGTGAACATTTCGTCTATTTCCATTCTGTCAATTTCCCTGAGTATTTTATACGTTCTTATCATATCCGTATATGTATGTATGTATGTATATACTGTATGTATGTATGTCCAGTCAGTGATTGTGAGTCCAGAGCTTATAATATTGAGTGGGCACTTGTACATTTTTTGTGGCCTTCCTGATGAATAAACAAGTTATTATTTGACTTTTTTTTTTTTTACCTGTAATCAGTATATAAATGAGTTTATTCCTTGACGGCTTTACTAGTGCTATGACATGCGGTTTCCAGAAATGAGCTTGATACAGCGAAAGCTTGGTGCCCAGATCCTGACCTTCCCATCAGCCTTCACAGTGCCAACTGGCCTGGCACACTGGGAGCCTCTCCTCAGAGTTCGGGCAATTGGTAAAGAAAGCTTTTTACACAAGTTAATTTTAACTGACTTATTGGAAGAAGCTCAAGTACCATAAGAATTATAAATTCACTAATATTACAATATGTACAGTTTCACATACTATTTACACAGTAACACACTGTATTACACACTCAGTACTTTGGAGGTGCATAATAGTCAACGAAGTAGTCCATGGTACACAGCGCGACTTTGCTCTCCTTGCACCAGCTACAGATAGATTTTTGCTTCCTGTTTCATCGTTATGTGTGCTTGCAAATAACGCACTTGCGTGCACCCTTGGCTTTAGTACTTGTAGGTGGTATGTAGCCAAGCTTGTAAAGCATAAGGTAGTATTGAAACGATTATAGGAAAAGCTCAATTTGTAAGGTAGTCTTGAAAAGATCGCTTTGTAAGGTCCCACACAGGAAGAGATTCAGCTAGCCTCAAAGAGTGTCCATCAGTCAGGAAGAGATTCAGCTAGCCTCAAAGAGTGTCCATCAGTCAGGAAAAGATTCAGGTATTCTTGTAAATATCAATGAACACCACCACCATGGAAGCCGCTAACACTGTTAATCTATGCTACATATACTGTATATACATTTTTAGATATTTCTGATAATTATGATAGACCTTCACCATTCCAATTATTAAATTTATGAAGGTGTGATCATTATGAATGAATAGTGTGGATCAGTAGTCAAGTGGTAGCTGTTCCAGATTAGTGTGGGGAGATTGTACCGAGTTAGTGAAGTTCAGCAATCGAGTTGTGGTTATACTTGGTTAGTTATTTTTATATGTTGAGATTTATATGTGAGCCTTTAAACTTTTCCATTACCACTCACAGGGTAGGCATGAGGGGCAAAACAATTGAACTATACTGTAAAACTGGCCAGGCACTGGAATTGGGTTATTCAGCAATATGAGTATTATTTTTGGGTGGGTGGGGGAGGGGTTGTTGTGTACACTGCCCATTGATTTTCCCATTATTTGGTGGTAGACAATGTGCCAGGCTGGCACATTGTCTTTAAAGGTATATCACTGTGGGAAGAGTAGAACGTTTGAGCACATTGTCTTAAACTCGATGACTCTGTTCACCTAGCAGTGAATAGGTGCCTATGAGTTAGGCAACTGTTGTAGGTAGCATCCTGGGGCTGGTCAGTTGTTGGCCAATTGGCATGCCTCTATAAGCCTAACAGGCTTCCTATCCCCCAATAATGGACAATTAATATTTTAAATTCACTTCAAGTAATTTTCTGTTGTATGACTATACTGTAACTCTGGTTTGTTCTAAAAACTCGACTAGTTCATATGTATGTACAGTACTCACCTATTTGCAGGGAAATCTTTAACTACTACAGTATTATATTTTGTGTGTGTAATGTTTATCAAAGTATCGTAGCATCTTTGTGCCTGCAGGATCGAGCATTGACTCTTGAATCCCGCCTTTCTACCCATCGGTTGTTTACGGCAATGACTCTGGTCCTAATTTCCCTATCATATCTAGTTTTAAAATTATGAATATAGTTTGCTTCCACGCCCTGTTCCTTAAGTGCATTCCATTTTTCCACTACTCATACTAAAAGAAAACTTCCTGACATCTCTGTGTCTCGTCCGAGTTTCCAGCTTCCACCCATGTCCCCTCGTTCTGTTAGTATTACGTGTGAACATTTCGTCTATTTCCATTCTGTCAATTTCCCTGAGTATTTTATACGTTCTTATCATATCCGTATATGTATGTATGTATATACTGTATGTATGTATGTCCAGTCAGTGATTGTGAGTCCAGAGCTTATAATATTGAGTGGGCACTTGTACATTTTTTGTGGCCTTCCTGATGAATAAACAAGTTATTATTTGACTTTTTTTTTTTTTTACCTGTAATCAGTATATAAATGAGTTTATTCCTTGACGGCTTTACTAGTGCTATGACATGCGGTTTCCAGAAATGAGCTTGATACAGCGAAAGCTTGGTGCCCAAATCCTGACCTTCCCATCAGCCTTCACAGTGCCAACTGGCCTGGCACACTGGGAGCCTCTCCTCAGAGTTCGGGCAATTGGTAAAGAAAGCTTTTTACACAAGTTAATTTTAACTGACTTATTGGAAGAAGCTCAAGTACCATAAGAATTATATTTGATTACAGTTATTACTTTAGAAAAATGTATTTATTTGTTAATATTTTTATTTTTAGTTGAATATGAAGGGCATCTTTTAAATACAGTACTTTGGGTTTCAATTATATGTTTGCAGGGAAGCCTTTAACTACAGTACTATTATATTTTGTGTGTATAATGTTTGTCAAAGTATCATAGCATCTGTATTTGTTGTTAAAAGAACAGACCTATACCCATAGTTGCTTATCTTTAGAGCTACTTATCTCTCTCCATAGGGTTAGTCTAGTTCTTTGCTGCATTATATATGAAAATGCTGCACATTTTGTTACTTTTTCTACAAAAATTTCTTTGTTTTATAGCTGTGGATTTTTTCAGTATTTTTATTTATGTATTTTATTTACTGTACTTTATAGTACAGTATACAGTACTGTAGTTTATGAAATTTGCATTTGGTTTAGAGAGGGGATCATATACAGGTAAACAGATTCATTGTCCTTCATATGAACTGGTTGGTCTTCCACAGAGTCTTGAGAAGTAGCTTTCAATTTCTACATTTTGTATACTTAATATGGAACAGCTTTTTTATCAAACTATGATTTCAAATTTACACACGTACAGTTATACCCTAATTGATGTTGCCAGCTCCACATGCACTTATTCAAATTTAGTTTTCATTTCCAGCTATATCTTGCCGTATAATTCTATTGTTGGGGATTTTTTATAATGACCTCTATCTTCTAGTTTTCCATAAGCAAAATGAGGTCAGGCATTAGTAGTCCTTCTGAGGCTCACAATTTATTACATGTCTGTGTGGAACTGAACGTTCTCTCTCTCTCTCTCTCTCCTAGGCCTGGTCGATGACCAGGCCACAGGGTCGCTAAGCCCCGAAATCATCTCAAGGTAATTCCCTCACTATTTCTAAATGCAACTTCTGTAAACTACAGACCAGTGTCATTGACATGCATTTGTATTTGTATTTAAAACAGATTATCAAGAAGACAATAGTAGAGCATTTGGAGAAAACAGACTTTGTAACCGACTCACAAATGGCTTTGAGGAGGAGGGAGTGTGACCCCCTTAAGGAATTTTTCCTTAATGCACAAGGAAAAATTTAGTCCAGAAATTGAATGAGACTTGCCTGAAATAAGAGAGATGAGCTATAAAAACAGACTGAGAGAATCCAATCTAATGACACTAGAAGGGAAGAACCAGGGAATTGTAGCATACAAGACACTGAGGGTAATAGACAGCTGAGAGAGATGATAGCAACCACAGGAAGAATTTGGAAATGCATAAGAGTCAAAGAGTTGTAAAAAAATTACTTGAATGCAGTAGACCCCTACTGCATTCAAGTAATTTTTTTACAACTCTTTGACTCTTATGCATTTCCAAATTCTTCCTGTGGTTGCTATCATCTCTACAAGATGATTAATCTTGTAGATTAATCTTGTAGGTAAGCAAGATTAATGTGCTTGAGGCAGCCTCAATATACAGATTTTTAAAGAAAATTTACAACTATTTTTGTATACAGTGAAAATGTCAAGGGGTATAAATGCACCAGACACAATAACCAAGGCAGGACTCGAGGTACAACTAGGTAAACATAGAGGAATATGCAGGCAGGCAGTGATGTTATAAATTCAGTTTAATATTTTTTGTATTGCAGAAACACAGTGCTATGTTATTGCAGCTGCTCAGACTGGCCAACACAACAAAAACCGATCGTCCTATGGTCACGCTATGGTATGTGGCATGTCTAGTAACCACTAAACCATTCAACTTGTCCTCTTTATGATCTGCAGAGATTTGTTCAACTTTTGGTCAAATATAAAGATCTTCTTTAATAAATACAGTTACAAAGTACATTACTTATTTAGAACAATACCATTTGTTTATCATTAGTGGTTTCCTATACTTGGCTCGTCTCATTTTTCAGTAGCTCAGTTTTCTCCCTAATCTTTGTTTGATATGTCTTTTAAGAACTTTTTTTCTTTTCTGGGAGGGTGCCCACTGTATCTCCCCATGCTTACCCACCTGGAGCCCTCTATACTACACTAGACTATAGAATCACAAGTGCCTGCTGGAGACCAGTATCAGAATCTGACCCTTCCCCTGAATAGGCATAGGGAACTGGGGATACTAGATCAACAGCATAAACTAAAGCTGAAGGCTTCAGTGCAGTGAAAGATAGTGCATCAAAATGAGAAACTGCTTGGACAACATTTTCAACCGTGACTGGGGCCTGACAGCTGAGTGAACAGCGCTTGGGATTTGTAGCCCTGAGGTGGAAACCCGGTGGAGGCAGAAACAAATGGGGAAAGTGTCTTTCACCCTGATGCTCCTGTTCACCTATCAGTAAATAGGTACCTGGGAGTTAGACAGCTGCTACTGACTGCCTCCTGGGGGGGGCGGGTTGTAACAAAAAAAAAAAAGGAGGCCTGGCCGAGGGCCGGGCTGCGAGGACGCTAACCCCCAAAATCATCTCGAGATAATCTCGTCTCAAGATAACCCTGATTTGAACTATTATATATATTTATGGACAAGCAGATGACAGCCTCGGCAACCCAGAGTCTGGGGCTGCCCAAACAAAACGATTCCCCAAACACCACAGAAGGAAGGGAAGGGCAAACAGTGGAAACCTCATCAGAAAGAGATTCGCCATTACCAGTGATGTGAAGCCTGTTAAACTTATTGTGGTCACTCTTGGCAAGTGATTGATCTTCTCCAAAATACAACTCACAACAGTTGTTTAATTACCTGGTACCTGTTTACTGCTAGGTGAACAGAAGCATCAGGTGTAAGGAAACATGCCCAAGTAGTACATTCTTTCCAAGAATTTAACCCAGGACTGCATGGAAAGTTTAATTACAACAGCTACAGATAAAAGCAGAGGATACATACTTTCAGTTAGAAAAACAAAATACATGAGATTTAAAAATTTATTGATTATCAAATTGCATACCTTCAGATTAGATCAGACCTGCAATATATTACAGAATGTATATATATATATTATTATTATTAATGAAGTGGTGTATATATAAAAGAGCATAGTATACATTGAATAAACATGATAAATGGGCATGACACTATGAACTTACACTGTATTTATTAGCTGCAAGTAGATTATTGCACACTACAGTACTGTATTTGTTTATTTGCATTGTCATATTTTTATTTCAGGTTGTAGATCCTTGGGGAGCTGTGGTATGTCAAGTTAGTGATGGAACTGGTTTTGCTCTGGCAGATATTAATCTAAATTTTCTACAAAAAATTCGTCAAGAAATGCCAGTCTTATCACATCGTCGTCTAGACTTGTATCATGTTCTTGATGCGCAGTTGCCAGATTGTCCAAGGTACTGTACACTCAATTTAATTTGCCCAAGTAAATGCATACTGTGACGAGAAAAGTAGGTGTTCGTACAGTCTCTAGGCAGATAGAATGCTAATCACATAAAATAGTAAAAAAAAAAAAAAAAGGGGAAAAAAAATTAAACTGCATGTTGTCTTCACAGTGAGGCAAACTGTAGGATAAATCAGAGGGAAAAAACATTTAAAAATACTTTACTTTGATAGAAAAAAAAAATGAAATTAAACGAATTACAAAACAAAATATCCAGGTTTGGCTCTAATACAAAGTGTGCAAAAAAACAAGATGAGCAATCAAATTTACGTTACATTAAAGTGCAAAATAAAATATGTTGCTGGAATACTGTGAGCCAGGCTGACTAAATCCATTACCACACCGAAATGTGTTAACAGGTCTATTCAGTTGAACACCCAGGAGTAATCTGAAATGTAGTGGGCTATGCAACCCTATATATATATATATGATGACGGCCGGGCAGATGGCGCTGGTGACTTCTTTAACTATTAACCGGCTCTTAAACTACTTGCTTGAGATGGCATGAGCTCCCAGCGACCCAGGTGCGAGGTGGGGTGACAGGCAGTGGGGTAGGTAGACTGGTGGTATTGTCTAGACATCTGGAAAGTAGTTGTTCTTCTTGTGGCTGCAGTACTTGCATAAATAGACGTGATATGATAGAATAGGTGATGGAGCAGGCCGAATCTCTCTCTAAGAGATTTTACCGTGACAATACATACTGGTACATACAATAGTTACACCTTAATGCAATAGGAATCTGTACACCAGTTGATTGACAGTTGAGAGGCAGGACTAAAGAGCCAGAGCTCAACCCCACAAGCACAACTAGGTGAGTACATGCAGTACAGTGTATAAAAATAAATATTTTGTATTGTACTGTTATTGTGAAGCTTTTAAATTACTTTTAGTGGTAGTTACAGGATAAGTCACTTGTGTTTTTCATCTTTCCCGTAATCTTTGTCACAACTTTTTGAGGGTTTTAAAAAAGTAGTGTATGCTGAAAACGACTTTGAGTGGTTTTAGCATACACTACCCTCGCATTTAATTGCCAGTCTACCATTCTATTCGCAAATGATAATTTTTGTAAGTTTTTCAGCCTCTTTTTCTTCTGTATACAGTACTAGGTTTTGGTATGTTTAACATGTCTAGCCTCTCATAGCTCTTGTGGTTCAGGTTCAAGAGTCTGACTGTAGCAAATTTGTAGCATTCCTTCACTCATGAATTAAGAAAAAAAGAGCTTGGGAAATTGGAATAGTGTAGGCTTCTCTTAATATCCAGAAGCATCCCTAGATCTCTTTGTCAGAGTTCTTTAGAAAAGCTCAGAGTTTCATCTTTTTGTACTCTTACATTTCTAATGATTTATCCACATCAAATTTAATTTGCCATTTGTTGTTCCATGTGCTTAATTTATCTAGGCCATTTTGAAGGGCATGAGAGTCATCAAAGTCTTTTGCTTTTCCCAGTAGCGTAGCATCATCTGCAAACATGTTCATATAACTGTATCCCTTCAGGAAGATAATTTGTGTAGACAATGGTGGTTGGGCTGTGTCTTGTGGGACTGTAGTAGTGAGTTGACCAGACCACACACTAGAAGGTGAAGGGACGACGACGTTTCGGTCCGTCCTGGACCATTCTCAAGTCGATTTGAGAATGGTCCAGGACGGACCGAAACGTCGTCGTCCCTTCACCTTCTAGTGTGTGATCTGGTCAACTTACTTTAGCCACGTTATTGTGACTTATCGCCTGCACACTGTAGTAGTGACATTCCTACAGTCCAGTTCATTGCTTCTTATTGCTGTTCTCGTCTTTGTTGTTAAGTTTTTCACCCTTCCTAGTATCCTTTTTAGCAAAATATGCTGCTGAAAAAGGGTGGGTAACATTTCCTTTTACCAGACATCTCTGTTCATTTAGCAGTAAATAGGTACCCGGGAGTTGGCAACTGTTGTAGGATGGGGAAGGTCAGTAGTCAGAAGGTTCCCCCCCCCCTTAGGGAAGGGGGGGACCTCGATAAACTTAATAGGTTTCATGTCACCATCTATGGGAAACAAAACCATATATTTTGCCTTGTAGCTATTAGTTGGCAGCATTTACTAGAATGTTTTTCCAGTAATTTTTAAGGTGAGTGGCTACTATCATAGTATGAAGAGAATTTTTTATGTGAAAGTGTGCAAATGGCATTAAAAGATGATTATGTTTCTAGTGACAAGTGTCAACCTTTTCAGCCTAAGGGTTAAGCAAGATATGCGTGAAGTAGTTGTCATTTTCCTTTACAGTACAGTATAATCCAGTGTCAATCACTTGCTGCTGGAGCCAAATTGTTTCAAGTAGGCTGAGGAACCCTATGTCCAAAGCTGCCTAGTCTACCATACATCAGGTTTTGCTTTTATCTCACATAATCAACTTTGAAATAAATCTGAGACTCCAGACCAGGAGGACTGGTTGAGGACCGGGCCGCGGGGACGTTGAACCCCGAAATCATCGCAAGGTTAGGTTCACAGAGTTTCCTCAAATACAGTTTATCCGGCTTATATAGGGTCAGTTTTTTTTATGATCACATTTCCCTTGCTTATTGCCTATTTCAGTGTTATTTATTAATGTGTCTGGTAGCTAGCACAAAGTCTAATATATCATTTCTCTTGGTTGGCATTGTAAAACTGTATACTGTTTGAGAAAGCTGCCTTAAGCTTTTTAATATACTTTTGCCTTTAGCATTTCCCATTTAATTTGTTTAACTTATATGACTAAAATTAGTCTTTTGTGATGCAGACATTATTGTACCTTGATGCCCTAGATATTCCTTATTCATAATATTTTATTCATAAATGTTTGTATATTTATAATTGGGTTAGTTTACACAAATTTACAGTAAATTATTTACCTAAAAGAAAGTCATAATAATATGTAATATCTGTAAATACAAACTGTATACCCAAGATGTAGATAAATCTAATTGAAGCTACATTACAGGGTTGACAGGGCAATAGCAGAGGAAGTTACTGATTTGCATAATGTGATCAATGTGGCATCAGAAACCCAAACTCTTATATTGGGCAATTTTACCCACGAGACAATAGATTAGGTAAATCTAACATCACAAACAGAAGGAGATCAGTTTCTAGACCTGTTGCAGGACTCATTTCCCGTACAACATGTGGTAGAGCCCACTCGAGGTAACAGCATTCTGGACCTTGTACTAACATCAGAAGAGGTCATGGTCGATCAAATTCAAGTAGGGGAAAGGCTCGCTTCATCGTGTGATCACAACATTCTAAGATGGAATACAATTACAGAAACTCTCGTAAGGGTCCAGGAATGTGACCTAGATTACCATCGAGGAAACTATCAGGGAATGAGAGAAGAATTGCAGAACACCTCATGGAGGGAGCTGATAGGTTATCATGCCATGGAAACATCATGGGAAAATTTAAACAAAATCATTACTGAACTCGTACAAAGATATTTTATATGTGCCAAAATGGAGAAAGAAAAGAAAGGGAACAAGATGGATGACACAAGTAGAGTAGTAAAACGAGCACTAATAACTAAACGAAACCTCTGGAGCCAGTATAAATCCACGATGAACATCATGGAGTATGAGATATATAAAAGGAAATTAAGTTCAGCTACCCAGGAAATCAGATTAGCCAAAGAAACTACGAAAGAAAACTTGCCCAAAACATAAAGGAAGAGCCAAAATCATTCTATGCATGTATACGAAGTAAAACCAATACAAAGGACTCTGTAGAACTCTTAAAAGATGAGACTAAACAAGTTATATTGGATGATAAAAGGGTAGCAAACACACTGAATGAATACTTTACATCAGTGTTAACGCTAGAAAGATTGAATGATACCCCATCACCCACACAAATGTTTGAAGGTGGTGAAAAGAATGAATTAAGGAATATACCCATTAAATGCGACACAATTAGGAAGAGCATTAACAAACTAAAAGAATAAAAAGCCCCAGATGTGGATGGATTTCAGTCCAAATTTGTAAAGGAACTGGCAAATGCACTATGCATACCACAGAAACAACTTTTCAGAAAATACCTGGACCAAGAGATATTTCACCTGGATTGGAAATATGCAAAAGTTACCCCTATTTTCAAAAAAGGCAGAAAGAGCTCAACAGGAAACTATTGTCCGATCAGCTTGACATTGCACATCTGCAAGCTCATGGAGAGAATCCTAAGGGAGGGAATCATACAACATCTCACAGAGAACAATCTTATAAAATCAACACAACATGGGTTTGTTAAAAATAGATCCTGCTTCACTAACCTGCTCACATTTCTGGAAACGGTAACCGGCTTTTCACACAAAGGACTTTCGGTAGATGTAACTTACATGGACTTTGCTGAAGCTTTTGATAAGCTACCACGTGAAAGACTGACAAGGAAATTACAAACACATTGAATAAATGTGAGAATACTGGAATGTGTAAAACAACGATTAAAACTTATAAAACAAAGGGTCGTATTAAATGGGAATGAATCTGACTGGGGCAATGTGCTAAGTGGAGTGCCACTGGGGTCCATTTTGGGGTCAACCCTTTTTGTCATTACATCAATGACATAGATGAGAATAATTACAAACCATATCATCGAATTTGCAGATGACACCAAGATTTATAGAAAATGAGAAGTGAAAGTGATATTGAGACCTTATAAAGAGATTTACATGAACTCCACAAATGGTCAGATGACTGGCAAATGCTTTTTAATGAAGATAAATGCAAAACCTTACATTTAGGACATAAAAATCCACATCACAACTACCAAATTGATAGCACTACCTTACAACAGATAGATGAAGAAAAGGACCTTGGAGTCAGAATCCATCATTCACTAAAAGTTACACAACAAGTGGGAGCGGCAGTAAAAAAAAGTGAATCAAACTCTGGGAATAATTAAACGGACCTTTACCTTCAAGGAAAAGAAAGTTGACGTTCAATTGTATAATTCTCTGGTGTGCACCCACCTGGTTTATTGCATCCAGGCATGGAGACCTCATATTCAGAAAGACATAGCTGCTCTGGAGAAGGTGCAACACCGAGCAACAAAACTCATACCAGAGCTTAGTTATCTCTCGTATCAGGAACGTTTGAGGGCCACTGGGCTAACAACATTGCAGACCAGGCTTAACAGGGCGGGTCTCACAGAAACCTTCAAAATAGTAAACAATTTGAATGATGTCGATCCGGACAGTTTCTTCAAAATGTCACATGAACGAGGAGCAACGGGTTCAAGCTCAACAAGCCACAATGTAGGACAGAAAACAGGAGATGTTTTTTCACCCATAGGGATGTAAACCCATTGAACCGCCACCCTGCAAAAGCCGTGAATGCCAGAACTCTGCTGGGTTTTAAAATACAGCTGGATAAGATCATCAGGGCAAATGGGGGGGACCTTTGACAAGCCGCCAGCTTCCTGTCCTCTTCGAGGCCAATAGCATTAGTGGCCTTCAGGTAAATTCAAGTAAATCTATGAATGATTTAAAAAATGACATTTGTCAAATTCAGCATCAAACTGTTTTTGCAACACCTTGTACAAATCTTTACAATAATGGCTGAACTAAACAGGTGTATATCACTAAATCAGATTTTACATTTTTGGCATAAAGTGAGTAACATTTAACCTACAATTTTGCAAGGTGATATATTTTGGAAAAATAAAGCGTAGTTTGCCATTAAAACACTGAAAATATTACCACGCGTTAGGTCTATAGTAAAATATGAAGCCATAACAATATTGAGGCCTTACAAATACTTTTCAGTATTGAAAAATGCAAGACCTTGCTTGTAGGCCATAACAACGCACATCACAACTGTCATAACAACACTACCATACAGCTGATTAATTAAGAAAAGAACTAAGGGGTTTTGATCCATCAATCATCAAAAGTTGCACAACAAGGTGTAGTTGCAGTAAAAAAAAAAAAATACCAATCAAGCCCTGGGAATAGTTAAATAATCCTCTGACTTCAAGGAAAAGAAAGTGGTTATTCACCTTCATAAGTCTCTGGTATGCCTCCAACTAGACAACTGTTTACAAGTATGGAGATCTCGCCTGCAAAAGGACCTATGCTTAAGAGAAAGTACAACACAGTGACAAAAATTATCCTAGAACTAAGTCAGCTCATACCAGGAACAGATGAGGGCCATTGGACTTACAAAAACCTCAAGCCAGACATGACAGGACTGAGCTCATCAAGATCTTTAATGCTGTGCACACAAATGAGAGGCTTTCACAAAGGTTTTACACCAAAATTCCAGTGTGTGTGTGTGCTGTTGCACCCGTCATGTAGGTAAATTCAAAATTTGTTTAATTATGCAGGCTTTGTCTAGTGATCAAACACAATATGCATGTTAGTAATACAGTAGTTTGAAGATTATTGCTTTCCACAGGATTTGTGACTTGCTTCCATTCCCAAGTCCATACCTCAGTTATCAGTTTGGGAAGGTCTCAGTTCCTGGGTCCTGCGTGTTTCTCAAGTCTCAACTTTCCCAGGCATTTGTAAACAAGAAGCCAGTGGTGCCGGGCCGTATTCTTTTATACCAAGTGGTTTGTGTTTTTTGACCTTGAGAAAATATATACAGTATAGGTTAATTTTGAATTGAAAATTAATGTAATTCTGATTCTGACAGCATTGTACTGTGTCTTAAATGTACTTTCAACCTTTTGACTGTCTTTTTGTTTGAATAAAACAAATTTTATTACTCTTATGAGTACATTCTGTAGTGTTCACTTATAAAATGTAATTTCCAGATTTATCTCTTACATCCCTGGCCTTTCAGGAAAGCCTTCTTCAGCTTATATACAGTTTAAACTCCTTTATCTGTATTAATAAGGGCTGGAGAACATCTGAAAAATGCCAAAATCCAGTAAAACCAAAATTAGCAGAATTTTGATTCATTTTCTGTACAGGTAAATCTGGTATATATATTTCCATTTTTTTTTGAGAGAGAGAGCTTGCAGAGCCTCATTATTAACTCCCCCATAGCTACAACAATGGGGCTGCCAAGCCTTCAGGAATCACACCAGGCCTCTGACACCTACTCGAAAACACTGGAAGCCAGGACCAGAATCTGGCTACCACTACGAAGCGAGGGGAGCTTTGTAACATGCACTTGGCTGTCTGGACCAAACCACCATGCAGAGAACCTAGAAAAGATAGGTTTCTCCAACCTCAACAGTGTAAGGAGTAGCCAAAAGACTTCTTGCTGTCACAGGACAAAGTGCAGCCTGCAGTGGGCACAGGATTACTTGGACAGGAAACGGTGTCATAGTCAGAGACGATATGTCAGGCTGGACAGGAGCAGAAAATGTATTCCACAGGGTTTTGTCCTAGGATAATTGTTGTTTTTAACTTGTATAAATGACCTCACAGAGAGTGTGAGCTCATACATGTTAATATTTGTAGATGATGCAAAGTTAATAGGGAGAGTAAAAATTGAAGAGGACTGTAGGGTGCTGCAAGAAGACCTTGACAAACTTCGGAACCTTTTTTCTTATTGGAACTGTGCTGAAATATTGAAGTGTGCAGTTATTGCATATTGTTGTAAAGGGTGATAGACATATAAATATGTATCTTCAGTAAAATGTTATCTTTCTGCAACACTTAACTCGGTCATCAGATATCCTCTTGACTCCCGAGCGGCCAGCCAGTCGTCTTCACAATCTTCAGGTTTCAGAAATCAGTGACTTGGCTCAGCTCGCTCAAAAAGCTGTTGAGATCATTATGTGCCACTACCAAGTGAAGGCATGTAACATTGCTATACAGGATGGCCCAGCAGCAGGGCAAACCATTGATGTAAGTATAACTTGATAATTAAGAAGGGAAGGGTGAGAGCTTTTTGAAAAGGCTTCGCCATGGTGGTTGACAGGAACTGCTCAATAGGTAAAGTGGAAGTTTGGGTGTCACTTTCTGGACAAATGCTGGTATTCAATTTCATGCGATATTTCGTTTTTTACAAAGTGATCAAGGAGGATAGTTGTTCTAATTAATGAGTATTATATCAGGAATCAAATATGAACAATGTACAGACATACATAATTGTGTGTTGTAGTTAGTGTCTGCCCATGCTTGCCCTGGGAGTGACTCTGAGCAACGTGAGGCGAGTGGTACTATCTCTTCATATTGAATTTATTTATAAACAAATAAATTAAATACAGTATATACTGTATATCTATCTATATGTTGTACCTAATAACCAGAATTGGCCTACTATGCAAGGCCCAATTTGCCTTATAAGTCAAGTTTTCCTGAAGTTATATATTCTTTTAATTTGCTTTCTTATGAAATGATAAAGCTTTCCATTACATTATATAAGAGTTCATTTAATTTTGATTTGAGTTAAAACTAACGTAGAAATATAACCTATCTTGACTTACTCTACCTATCCTAAACTAACATAACTAAGTCAGTAATTCATGTTCAAATATAATATATAATTTTGTACATTCTCACAAAGCCACTAACCTGCACAGCAGTTCAATAATTGGAAACCTGGATAAAAAAGGATAGGCCTGTTATGTTTTCTGAAAACATAAAACTTGATAACTGGTTCCAGTACCTGGCCCAAAGGCCATATCAAAGCATTAAACAAATATATACAAAGATACTAGAGACATTGAACCAAAATAAAACCATACTGAACACTAACCTCTGTATACAGTATATTGAATGTGGAATAAATCTTGTAACAGTGAATGATTATGTACAGTACCGTATACCTTTAAGAAAATATGAGAATGAAAGATGGCGCTTTAAATATATACAGTAGTAAGATAACTGGATTCTCCAGGGTCTTAATTCCTAAAAAATGATGAGGATTTTCATGATGCAAATGGTACTTCTTTATAGATGCTAATGCAAATAACTAGTGCTAATTTAATAACAAATTAAAGTTTCAATACCAGTACTAAGTTTAATGAAATGGTATCTTAACGTGCAGTACTGTATTTTGTTTATATTTCAGCATGTTCACATTCACATCGTGCCACAGAGCACGGCCCTTAAGCAGAAACTTCAGGGACACGAGGGTGAAGGGGTTAGACAGGAAAGAGCGATGTTAGAAATGGAGGAAGAAGCTGGCCAACTTCGACAAGTGGCAACACAAATTCTTTCCAGTTATTATAACGCTGTGCCTGGAATCCCTTGGTAAGTGGTGGTACCAACCCTTCCTAGTGACAGTAAAGTTATGCTGGAGGTGCCTTGGTAAGTGGTGGTACCAACCCTTCCTAGTGACAGTAAAGTTATGCTGGAGGTGCCTTGGTAAGTGGTGGTACCAACCCTTCCTAGTGACAGTAAAGTTATGCTGGAGGTGCCTTGGTAAGTGGTGGTACCAACCCTTCCTAGTGACAGTAAAGTTATGCTGGAGGTGCCTTGGTAAGTGGTGGTACCAACCCTTCCTAGTGACAGTAAAGTTATGCTGGAGGTGCCTTGGTAAGTGGTGGTACCAACCCTTCCTAGTGACAGTAAAGTTATGCTGGAGGTGCCTTGGTAAGTGGTGGTACCAACCCTTCCTAGTGACAGTAAAGTTATGCTGGAGGTGCCTTGGTAAGTGGTGGTACCAACCCTTCCTAGTGACAGTAAAGTTATGCTGGAGGTGCCTTGGTAAGTGGTGGTACCAACCCTTCCTAGTGACAGTAAAGTTATGCTGGAGGTGCCTTGGTAAGTGGTGGTACCAACCCTTCCTAGTGACAGTAAAGTTATGCTGGAGGTGCCTTGGTAAGTGGTGGTACCAACCCTTCCTAGTGACAGTATCATTATGCTGAGGGTCCCTTGGTAAGTAGTAGCACCAACCGTTAATAGTGACAGGTTTGCAACAATATTAGTGCCTGAACTAAGAGGGTTAAACTACAAGGATAGATTAAGAGAACTAATTGTCACAACTTTAGGAGGAGAAAAGAAACAGTGGATATAATAACAACATGCTAGATAGTGAGGGAAATAGACCAGATACACAAGGACAGCCTCTTTAAATTGAGAGAAATTAGGACAGGAGGACATAAACAAATGCTGGAAATGCAAATGCATTAAAGAATGTAAGAAAATAATCTTCCCCTCATGTAATGCATTATAATTTCTAATATTGTCTTTAATTTTCAGCAATACCTGTGTGGAAATCCCCGAGCCAGAATGTTTCGAGACCTTTCAGTTTGGTTCAGTAGAAATACCCAACAGTTGCCTGATTGTCAAGACAAAACATTCTTGTGCCTTTGTGGCACCTAATCCTGTTTTGCCAGGACGTATCCTTTCTTACATTTTAACTTGTACATTCAATATACTGTATACAATTATTTTGTATATATACTCCTTATACTTTGTGAACTTATCTTGTTCAGAAAGTATACTAGTTTTACTAGAAATTTACTTGTTATACTCCCTGAACCGACTCCTATAATATACAACACATTTGGCATGCCTACAGTGGATCTGTTTGTATATACAATATGTGAAACCTAATGCCGCTGGTTTATGTGGCTGCATTTCACATTCGTGATGCTTTTGCTGTGGGTGAAATGTCTTGAATGGTACTAGTGAGAGTTGATTTATAAGTTTTCCAGTGGTTGAGATACTTTTGGCAGTTTTTCCAAAGCTGGAGAACTTTGTGGGCCATGTTCTTACATTCTTGTAAAGCCACTAGCACACATAGTGCTTCGGGCAGGTTCTTGATCCTTAATATGCTAAAGAATATTTAACCTTGGATTTACCAGAATCCACCAGGGGTCTGGAGGCACTGAGTTAGTAGACAATCAGTGTTTCACAAATAATCTGCTTACATTGATGTGTGTAGGTATTGATGTTCCACATCAAATGCTTCCTTCAAATACACCAGTATATATCTCAAAAAAAAAAAAAAAAAAAAAAAAAAAAAAAAATCAGAAAATCAATAAGTGATGTATCTATTTTCGGTCTTACTTTAAGAGTGCTCCAAACAGGTGTTCCTTCCTCCTCTTCTAATGCAGAGGAACACCCTCAAGATTCTCCACAGATCATTGCATGTGGAATTTCTAGGGCAGATTTAATTTGGGTTAGATTGAGTATTCTCCAGTAGTGCTAAGTACTGTACCACTGTAATCCAATGGGGATGTTTCCAAATGTTTTTGACTGAGCACACACAATATCAGCTTTCCAATACTGCAGCATATTCTAACCAGAGGTCAGTATGGTATTGTCTTAGGAAGCAGTGAGTGTACTGCTCAGGAAAATGTATTTACAGCTAGATTTATTGTCTTTATTCTTATAGCAGATCTCGTTAACCGTTTTGTATGTATTAACACACCGTTAAAGGATTTGGTAACTAGATCCATGAAGTGTTCAGCAAACCTGGTGAGGACGTATGCTGAATGCTAAATATCCAGATTATGATATATTAATGCATGAGGATTTTGGCCAGTGTGTTTCTGGGACTGGAAGATGAGGGGATGTTGTAATTCTAAAACAAGGATGAAATACAGTACCTATTTGGACCAGTTAGATAACATCCTTAATAATGATGCTGAAACTGATTATGGGGACATTGCAGCGCTCTATCTTCACTTCGGGCTGTCTAATAATCTTTTCATTTAGGTAGGTCAGAAATGTTAGAAAACTTTCCAAAATAAATCAGTATGTAGTATGCAAGGTCAGCTCCAGGATGAAAGCTAAGCTTGTAGTTTCCCATCTTCCTAATACATAGTCATTGTCATATAGTTTAGAAGCTATCAATAGTGCTGGTACACCATTCTTTCATTTAAGTTATTCCATCTTTATACAACTGCTTGTAGACAAATTTCTATAGATGTTTTTGGTGCTTTCTGTAATTTTTAAACCATGTTCTCTTGTCCCAGCTCTCAAAAAATCCTTATTTATTTTATCGATACCTCATAATTTTGTACACTGTGATTATTTTTATTTTCTTCTTCTACCATCTTTGGCATGTAACTAATGACATGGAAATGGAGTCACCTCCATTTCCTCAAATTGCAGTATTGTACCAGCATAGTACATATTACTAAGTGTAAATAATTATTAAATACAGTACTGTCAAATCTTTCAATATCTGTTCCATCTGAAGATGTTGTGGTAACTGTTCTACACAGTAATTTAGTGTTGTGATTTACACTAATAAAAACATTCATTTTTGTGCAAAATAACAGAAAATGATACAGTATCTGAATTTGGGTTGCAATGGAAGTCTGGTTCCACTAGGAAGGAACCTAGTTAGTCCAGAAAATTGAGTTCACTGTACTTGTATTACAAAATGCTAGCATACGAAACTGGGAATATAATTTTTGATTACCCTCATGTGATTGAACCCATTGATATATTAACTATTCTCAGACCTTTGGGTCTTTGTTAACCAGCCAAGGGTCTTATGCTGAGAATAACTCATTACAAATAAATTACAATACTCTGTAGTGATGAATAAAGCCCTCCATATATAGACCAATAAAACAAGAATTAGAAGTTTTCACATTAGGTAAATGATCACTAACTAGACATTTTCTGTTATTCTTGGTATAAAGCTGTTCAGTTGGTCTTCCTGGTAAGATTCACTTTATCAGTAAGGCAGAATCATGTATGGCCAGACATGCATGTTACTTGTCCTACTGCGATCTTTTAAAATTGTCCCTTCAGGAGTTACTGAAGAACATTCAATCCCCACCCAGGATGACTGAAACGATTCATTCATTAAAGGCCCTCCCAAACCCTTCCATGACATCTCGGGTAACTCTTAAAGTTGTTAAGATGGTACAGTATTTAGTTTAATAGAACGAAACTCTTCAGTCACTCTGGGCTGGATTGAATGTTCTCCAGTTACCAGTATCAAGTATGGCATACAGCCTGTGCATGAGAACATTGTATGAACATGTCAGATCTTACACATTGGGGTACTTATGTTATCCCATAAAATGTTATCCTTAACTTTTTGTAAGATGTCTATGTAACACTTCTTAAGCCTTCTGCAGGCTTTAGAAGGACAAGTGCAGAACAGATCACAGACTTGTTCATCGTAATGCATTCAATTCAACATGCCGTGGAAACTAGTCAAAAGACCGAATCCTCCACAATTGTTCTTTTAGAAGACTCGGACTTATCTCAGGAAGATCAGGTATGTTGAATGTCATCTTGTCTTTCATGGAAATCTCACATGTTTTATGGTTGATATAGGGTCTTATACATAATTCACAGGATCTAAGATAGTATTGGCATAGGTACTGACCAAACATAGGAAAATAGCATTGTGAATCAATCTGAGGCTTTGGATGATCAGTGACCTGGACTGGCTGCAATGAGTGTAAATGTCTTTTCAAGCCCTTAATTAAATACTTAATTGAATATTGCCAATCCAACAGCCAGCAAAGGAACTAATGAATTAAATCATTTAGATGTCTGAGAGTTGCAGAATATTGTGTTTATTTTGTCAGGTGCTTCCATCTGGTGGCTCACAGTAATGGTAGGACCTGGGAGCTGCTTGTGGCTCACCAGAAAATTTATTTCATTACATTCAGTGCTTGATTTTTGAGGATCTGTCAACAGCTCACTGAACTTTCAACTTTTGAGACCACTAGCACCAGCTGAAGCTCTAAGGCTGAGCTACAACAAAGCTGATGAAGCAAGAAGGGAGGGAGGGAGGCCAGCAAGACAACCCACACCAGGCCCAGGTCAGCCAGACCCTTAGACGTTACCACTTTGGACATCCTCCAGTTGACTAAAAAAGCAGGAATGGCCAACTGTTAAAGACCAGACCTTTGGCCAGCAGGCAAACCAAATGTATTGGGGCTCAAAGTACCTGGTCACTAAGACAGACCGGGATGCAGAGTCTCTGAAGATGTTGGAAGACCACAACAGTCAATTTAGGGAAAATTTGAAGGCCATGGGAAGAATAAGCAGTAGGGCCCTGAAAGCGGTATGAAACTTGCTCTGTGCCTTGAACTCTAGAAGGAAAAATATTTGCAAACAGGCATCCCTTATAGCCAGGAAAATGAGTGAAGATGTGCATGATGACAGCATGCAAACCTTGTATGTGCATACCACATAAGGACTGCCAGACCAGGATGAACACTGCAGAGCCAACCTGTCCTCTTACAAATTACAGCCGAATTGGCTCTTTGCCCGTATGGCCAAAGCTGGACGTAATTTTAAAATGAAAAAAAATTGAAAATCAATTTTGGATTTTTTTTTTCCAATACAGTAAGTTAAGGGTCCTCTGGTAGATTAGGTGGGAAGGAAATTCTCCTAAAGTTTCAAAACGTCATGAAAAATGTCAATTGAAAGTTTCCTCTCCTAACCTTTCTGAGTAAGCCAGAGGACTCAAACAGAAAATGGGACAGTACATCACTTTCGTGAGCTGATTTCATTTAAAATTACGGCCAGTTTTGGCCATAGCGCGCATATGAGCGAAAGGCAACGTTACTTTTAGGAGGACGGGTTGGCAGAGCACACAGGTGGACGTACATGCACCTGGGTGACTGACACTGATATCCTTTTTCACCAGGAGCCAGAGAAAAGTGGGTACTAGACAAGCCTAAAACCGAAACCGGTGTTGTCAACTGCAGATGAAGTACACGGTGAGACAGCTAAATACAATGCACACACCTGATGATGTCAAACTCTGTGAAAGCGACCAAGACTCCTGCAGAGAAACAAAAATGGCAAGCCAACAGGTTTGGAGAGCACATAAAAGTTCACAACTACAACTTGCAGGAGCAGCCTTACAACCAAGTTGAAGCAACAGCAGACAACAAGGCAAGTGGTCAAAGAAAACCCAGAAAGAGACAATTTTGCCCAGAACAACCCAGAAATAACCTGCACCGCACAAGAACTGATAACTTCCACCAGATGGTGAGAGCCCTGTGGTCCACTGCCCCTAACGCCAGAGACAACCTGGGGAAAACGAACATACGGCTGCCAATCTTCACTTTGTGGGGCAGGCAGAACCAAATAGAGCACTGTTGCAGCCACAGAGGAAGGACTCCCACGAAAAACCTTAAACTGGAGAAGGCTCTTTGCAGTCGCATGCCTGTAGATGACTGAAAAATTGCCTCCTGCCCAAAGATAAAAAAAGGTTGCTGCCTGCCAGGATGAATCCAGGACTGTACATCAGCCAAAAAGCAGAAGAGGACTAATATGCAAAGATGATATGGCCTTAATTAGATGCACATTCTAGTTTGTACAGCAGTCACCAAACCACAGCAAGGAAAATGTGACAGTGGAATACTGTGCTGTGGGGGGTGGACCCAGGCCATGGACAGGAATCTGGAAGCACATCTGTGAAGGAGATGGCCCCTCCTCAATGCCCTAAAATATTCCTTGTTGCATAGGAAGGAGTACCAGTACCAGTTTTGTTTTATTGAAAGTTAAGGAGTCTACATCCCCTTTGGAGCTCAGAGCCTCAGCAGTGAAAACTGTGTGTCAACTAATGAAGCCTGAGAACTTTGGGAAGCTGAAACCAAATGCCCATTCCAAAAGATGGTGGAATCTAGCAGGAAAAGGAGGTCCCTAGTCTCTCTCACATCTCCAGAGGGGGGCAATACCCAGTGCTGCCTACACCAGTATCATAGCCATTATAGCTAGAACCCAACTGCATGCCAAGCTCAATGAAGCTTCAGACATGCCCAAAAACATGTTCACCAAATAGGACATAACGAGCTACAGTACTTGGAAATCAGTTCAACTGCAGTGTGTGTGTTTGTGTGAAGCACACAAACAGGTGAGAGTTGTGAGGAAATCATTTACCATTCAGTGGAGCAGCAGGTAGAGGAATGGCAAATGTCGATGAGAATGCTGCTCACAGCTCAAAATACTTAGCAGCCTGAAGCAACGAATGAGAAAGAGACGTTAAGTGAACCGATCCCGGTCAAGGCAGAGAAAGCCAGATAAACTGTGGCACAGGTGTCAAAGACCAGATGTCTGTAAACTTTCTCAGGATAAAAAAACTGGAGTATTGGTATCTGCACCATCTGCTGCATATGGGTTGCAAAAGCCTTGATTAGAAACTGTGGTTACTGAAAAAGGCAGCCCATCCAGCAATCATATGTGAAAAGATCCCAGAATCCAACAGGCTGCTTGGTGGAGTCATGGCATTTCGTCACATTTAAAGCTTGAATTTTGAGAAAAATAACATTCGAGATCAATTTTGTCATATGGAAGCAGCAATTATCTCTATTTCACAAAGTTTATACAGTACTGTAATGGTTTTGTTGAAAATTTACACTTTCCTCTTTATTTACTTTCAAATGATATTCTAGCAATTACTACAGATTAGCTTCTTTTACAGCATCTTCAAGTACATGCTCACATCATCCCAAGGACAGAGGGTGACCTTGAGAACAATGACGACATCTATAACTCTATTTTACAACATTATGGAGAGAATTCCAAATGGAAATTTTCACAAGAAGTCATGACTCGAGCTAGCCAGTTGAGAAGTTCATGGCTTATGTTAAACTATACATGCAAAATGAATTAATGGACCATTTGTTTTAGGATTTGGTCTAATTTGTGTTCTAATTACATATTCCTAATATGGCAATGTAAATTGTTTTCAAGTCATCATTTGTTATGAAGTTTATGTTAAGGTAAGTAATCAAAGTAAATATGCAGAAAATTACATCATTTAAGTTTGATCCTAGATATGAATACTTTGTTTTTAAGTATAGTCAACTACGTGCTTTTCGAATGCCTTTTTTCAAAAAATGCCTGTTATCCAATATGGGTTCAGATAAAAAGTTTGGATAACTGGTGGGGTAGGCAATCATATCAATCAATCAATATCATATCATAGGCAATCAAATGGGGCAGTCTGAATAAAAATGTGCAATGAAGATGGAACTAGTTTGCCCAGTGACTGTACACAATGTCACTTGAGCAGTGTTCATACACTAATGGATGGCTCAAAGCTCTAAACTCTGCCATGGCATTATGTACATTAGAGTACATGGTAAAAGGCAGTCTGCTGAGGTTACTTCATCACCATTAATCTCCACTCAGTCAACCCAACACTTATCATCATCCACCACCTTTTCTATCTAAATAACAATGCTCCATCAACTATAATCTTCGAATTAACAAGTGGATCAGGACTTCTCATATTGGTGAGTACAAACAAAACAGTGAAATTTCTGCATCAAAAGCAAAATTGTCAACTTTTCCCCTAGCTTTTCAGTATGACGAACCACTTACCCGAACACAACAGGTTATCCATTCAGTCTGGTCCCGAGGAGTTCGGAAAGCATGTGGCTGTCTAACTTAAAAAAAAAAAAAAAAAGGCTCTAATTACAAATATACAGATTAACTTGTATAATTAATGTCAAATGTTGCAGTGCAAAGTTTATGTATAAATATCGAGTTATGTAAATGAATTACAGTATCATAAGCTCATATTCACCTTATTATCATTGATAAAATTATCCTTTGGCATTTTAAAATTCTGGAGAAACCATAAAGATGAGTTGCATTATAAGTACAGGTACTTATTAGTTCCCATTTACTTCAGGTTTGTGTATACAGTATTTTATGATCTTTTAATATTATACACTAATAAATGGCTACATAGTATTTGTGTACAGTCCCCCAACATGGTATTCAGACCCATGGTGTTTGTTAGTTCACTACATGTTTACATATTAAGCAAGCAACATTTTTTCTTTTTTGCAATATGCAGATTCATAGGGTCAACAAATATTTTTAGCAAATCCTGTAAATGCTATTCAAGAGGCACTTGGACAAGTTCTTGGAAGAAGTACCAGAGCAACCAGGTTGTAGTGGATGTGTGGGCCTGCGGGCCGCTCGAAGCAGCAGCCTGTTGGACCAAGTTATCACAAGTCGAGCCTAGCCTCAGGGGAGTAGAACTCGAGAGGGGCCTGACAGCTGAGTGTACAGCACTTCGGATTTGAAGTCCTGAGATTTCGGGTTCGATCCCCAGTGAAGGCAAAAAACAAATGGGCAGTTTCTTTCACCTTGATGCCCCTGTTCACCTAGCAGTAAATAGGTACAGTACCTGGGAGTTTGACAGCTGCTATGGGCTGCTTCCTGGGGGTGTGTAACAAAAAGGAGGCCTGGTCGAGGGGATGCTAAGCCCCGAAATCATCTCCCGATAACCCTCCAGATATACTAAGATTACTCTGACCTGCATTTGTATACCAAAGTCAGCAGAATTAGAGAGAGGTTCCAACCTTCCACACCAGCAAAAGGTAAAATAGGGTAACCACTTCAACATCTGCACGAGGCTCGAGTAAGCTAGTTACTTCAGCATCTGCTCCAGATTCATCATTTCAAGAGGACTTTAGTACCTGAGTTTCTTCCTGTTCTAAAGGTTTACATCATGTACAAGTACCTTGTGCAAAACTCTCATATTTCTTGAACACACTGCCACCACCACTTTATTAATTATATACACAGTACTGTACAATATTTGGGTTCTTCCATGTTTGGAAAGGGAAAAGATTATGTATTCCTGTAATCAACCTATTTAAAAAAAGCTTGTCTCGAAGAAGTCCAAATAGTGTTGAGGATTATAGTGCTGTACAATAAGAAGTAAAATATAAAATATATTATAGTCCTTTAGAGAAATCTGCACACAGTGATCTTTGTGTATATCAGTGGAATGCTTACTTAACATTTGCCATTTTCTTTATCCGTGTTCTTTGTTATGAAGGCGATTAAAAATGTAATACCATATTGTAATGTATTGCTTTATAGAACACCAGACATGTTTTGTGACTTATTAATGCACTTTGATAATGCATTGCAGCATGATAGTGTAAAGTAGCAACTTTTGGGCCAGTTTGAAGGGAGTTAGTAATAGCTCCTGATTAAGGAAGATTTGTGTGATACTGTACATGAAATATTTACTAATGAGTGTCCACTCGCCTCACTTGCTTACGAGCTTCATGCAGGTCGGCGTTCAATCCCAGACCGTCCAAGTGGTTGAGCAACATTCCTCAAACCCCCCCCCTATTCCCAGTGCTACATAATTGTAATGGCTTGATGCCTTCTCCTAATAGTTCCCATTCCTTATGAGCTTACTTTCCCACAGATCTTGGGAAGCCTTGAAATGCATATCTTTTGGTTGAGGCTGTTATTTTAAAATAGTGTTAGCTTGCACAGGCCCTGTTCTAGGACATGGCCAATGCAAATATTTTTGTACTTAATCATTATTATACAGTAATGTTGTTGAATATTATTTTGTTAAAAACTCATACAAAATATGTTTGTATGCAAGATTGTAATACTGTATGTATCAAATTAAAAGGAAAATGCAATCTTTTTTTTGTATTTACCAAAGTGTATAAACAGACATTAACTTAATATTGAACACTTGTACATATTTTACCAATCTCAGAACCTCACAATTTCTATTTAGGCAGTGTCACACCCTACCCTGCTTTTATAATATTACTACTGTAAATTTAATAATAGAAAAAATATTGCAATATTGGCAAATACTAGATCTAAACCAACCCATCCTCCGAATTGACAGTACGATTTAATACTAAGTGTAATAAGTACACTTTCTAACTATCATAAACAGTGCATAATTGCACTTATGGGGCTGCTACATTTATCCAACTCCCTCCCTCGATTTAATTCTTCTCGTTTTCTGTTAAGACACTCAGAATTTTAGGATAAAGTTTTCAATTTCAATTTGCAATTCATAAGTTTTAAATATCAGGAATTTCTTTTTCAGGTTTATTAAACAATATAGATTTTATACAAAATTTTAAAATATCCTGAGTTACTTTACAATTTATTTATATATTTTAGTTTTGTTTTATTAGTTTTATAAAACTGTAATATCAATATAGCTATAGGTTAAGTACTAATTGTAATTAAGAAGCAATAAAATTATCATCTTCAAAAACTAAGACGGTTAGGTGAGGTTCTGGTTTTCTATTGAGTTTTTCAGGTAAACTCAAATATTCACAATATATTTGACTACGATTTAATACTAAGTGAAAATAAGTACAATTCCTAACTGCTATGAATAGTACATAATTGCACTTATTTGTCTTCTTACATTTATCACCCCATTTTTGGAGCTGAACATAGTGTATTGTACAGCTAAAAATATTTGACAAGTAATTTACAGCATTTGTAACCTTAATTTGAATAAGCAATTTTGTACGGTGTCACTGATGTACACTTCAGTAACTTGGTGAAAAGTTCAATATGCAGCATAATGGATTCCAGAACAATGGAATACAAGTTGATAAGGATGCAAGACTGACCAAAATTTCAACACTCCTTATATTTTGTGTGTTCAGTTACTTGTGTATGCAAAAAAGACTAAATGCACTATCAGTGCCTACATTAAGTCATACTATGAGAAAATAGACGGGAAGACTTTTTAAAATCAATAATAAGCAGAAAATGAGGCCACAATTATTAATAAATGAAACCCAAAAGGTGGATATGCTTCCAGAATGCCTCTACTGTACCACAACAAATAATGATGTAAAAAAAAATGTATTCCAAGTCATTTTCGGCATGAAGATTATTGGGAAATGAAGTACAACATTTTTAGAAGCCAAACTTTGTCCTCTTTAACAAAATGTAAAATGTAAACTACATATACTAGTACAGTATATACTATACAGTACAGTATATATATGCAGTATATAAAACAAATGTAAATATAGCAGAACACTGTAGATTACAGAAAAATGACAAAAAACCAGGGGGTAGTAACTTCCCACCTGGGCCTGCTCTCTTGTGGACATTTTCACTATCAAAGAATGTATTTCTTGCCACTAAGTTGTTATTTTGTCTTACTATTTCCACAAGATTATTTAGGGAGACCCTATTGGTATTACACATAATTAAATCATCATTAATAACAGAAAATAAAGATGAATACTGTATCATAATCTACCTCTGCCTTCAGACCAAGATAGCAGAAGATGACGTATACCCTTACATTGGTTAGATGAGCATTGATGGCTTCCCTAATTTATCAAACCAATTCCACTCTTTTCATAGACCTCCGATAGTCACTCAGGTAAAGCTCAAACACTTCATGGAAGCTCTCCGAGTGCTCATGAGCATGCTTCGAAGCGGAAGGATTAATACACTGACATTTATAGGAAAAATATCTTGCAAGGACCCCAATACAACTAAAAACAAATTCAACTTTTTAGCACTGTATTCCTTCAAACACTAGAATCAACTTATTTTTATTTTATTAAAAAGTGTAGCTAGATTTGTTATTTTATTGCTGTGACTACCTATATCTACAAAATGGGACCTTACCAGAGAAAGCTCAGAAATTTGTAATTATACATAAATGGAATGAAATTGCAAAGCCATGTCATTCCTTTATTAAATTCCTTAATCAGTTATTCTTAATCTCGATAAATAAGAATAGTTTCAACACTGGAAACTTCGCTGCGTTGCCATGTCCTCCAGGAGTACTCGAAGCTCTTCATCTTCAAATCGTCCTTCCAAGCTGAAATAGTGATAACTTTATTAGTTTAACTCTGTTTATTGTATCATGATTCAATACACAGTGATGATTAGAAGTTTTAATAACAAATAAAATATTTTCTTTGTCATACAGTGCCAAGATTAAAAAGAAATTGCCCCAGTTCATTCCAAGATTTGTTTAAGCAAGCAAATATGGTGCTCTGTTTGCAATCTGTGTTTGAACGATGGAAGAAATGCTTGCAGACCGTTTTAAACGACCATGGTGTCTAACCTGTCATTCTCAATGGTTACTGCTTGTACTGCGTTATTACATCATCTTTCCCATAAAAATAGCCATCCCAGCGTTCCATCTACAGCTTGCTCCCAAAGGGAGTTGAAGCGCTTACACTACTGGCAATACACTACTGGCAATGTTGCTAGACACAGCCTGGTGGACCAAGCTCTCACAAGTCAAGCCTGGCCTCGGGCCGGGCTTGGGGAGCAGAAGAACTCGCAGAACCCCATCAAGCAGGTATCGAGCAGTACTGTAAGACTCTTGCTAACACAAAGTACAAAGCTATGAACATTAATTATACTACTGAATTTACTTTTAGACATTTTAACAAGGCAATTGAGTTGACAGCAAGGTATTTAATGCTCAAAAGTTGTCCTGAGGGGTTTAGCTAATACCTGAATGTGGGCTCGGGTAAACAAGTCTAATATGAAGTCCGATGCCAAATCTCTCGACTGTCCACACACTACCCGATGGTGTACCCAAAACCACTCCCCCAGTTACATTACTATCAACCATAAAAATAACACTACACTAATACCTAATGGCACACTCAAACCCAGCTGCCAACAACTCATTAAATTCCACTCCTTTTAAATATTAAATAAGCACAATATTTTTCCCATAATAAATGGCAATGGCTATTCCTCATTCAAACTCTCAAGGTTCACTTTGATAAAGAAAATGGCCTAACTCTTAAGGAGCTAGACTGTGGCAAAGAGCTTACCAGATGATAAAGATAATTCTGATTGCTTGTATGTCTTTAACAATCATTGCCAGGGAAGTTTGAAACCAGGGTGATGCGATAGCAGGAGTACTGAAGTTAACACCAGGCAGTGACAAGTATGTCTTGATAAAAAAACCCTAGCATTGAATTATAAGTTGTCTGTAATAAATTTAAAGTCCTACAACACTACCAACGTGTCCTCTAACACGACCAATTTGTCTAATAAAATTCATAATGCAATTTTAAAAAAGTTAAATTTTTTGTACTGCAAAATACAAAATGTGGAGTATTCTTACCTTGGAATTAGAGCCTTTGCTTCTTCTGGAGTTTCAGGACACAGATTTGCTAATGCTGCCAACTCAAACTTGTGCAGCTTCTTCTGGTTTAGCAGTTCACGAATAGCCTTAATTGTTGTCCTGTTCTTGAACTTTGAAAACCGCTCACAGTAGTTCAGAGTCTTCATGAACCTCTAAAGATAAAACAAATACGTGCTTATCTCGGGAAAAACGTAATAATCTGTTAACAATATAAAAGGGATAGGCAAAGTAATTATTGGGAAAAGGGCAAGTTTGACTACTTGGAAGGAATACGAGGAAATGAACCTGAGACGGGGGCAGGGGAGGAATGATGCCCATCCACTTTGATTGTTTGGGATCAAATGCTGACCTGCAAGATGGAAGGCCATTGTTGTACTGACTAGTCTGAGTGGTTGGGGGTATATATATAAAAAAAAAAAAGAGAAAAAAAATGTGTACAAGGCCTGTTGACCTATGCCAGTGAGTTTGCTTTTATGATTTTACTTGAACCATAGATCCGCAATCCTATTTCATATCCAAAACTTACCTATTGCTGTTCTAAATCTAAGCTTATCCAATTTAAAGCCACTATTTAGTGTTAGGGTAATTTATAAGTTTATATTTTAGCATTCTATTTACATCCTTTGTTAGACACTTTCAACCATTTGTACAAATCAATTATGCCTCCTCCTCATGCTTTTCTAAGGAATGCATATTTAAATTTTGTTTAGTTTTCTTAATGAAAATTTCTAATGCCAGGGATCAGCAGAGTATCCTTCGTTCTATTTGCCAGAAAATTTACATCCATCCTACAGCATGGTGCCCAAAACTGTGCTGCATAATCAAAGCAGGGTCTCACAGGGTCATGGTGAAGATAAAGAACAGTCTTACTATTGCTAATACTTCTAGATATGAATACTACCATTATTGGCTTTATTTAAAAGAAGTTATGCAGTCATGGTTTTAGACCAACTATTAATTGTGATTCATATACCATTTTAAGTTCTTGTGTAACGTTTCTGCATCTTCCGAATTTATTACTGCTCCTGAGCTAACCCACTTGCTTACTGTCTAAGGAAGGATCATACAGTACCCTGGTTAGCATCTTACACAATCAAGGCAGATCAACATTCTGCATATGTATAGTAGAGTACCTTTAAAACAGGATTATACTGGTGCTAGGGTAAACAAGAGTGAAAATGTAATTCATACTTAAATGCAGGCAGAAAGCTTATACTGTACAGTACATACCAAACTCAAAGCACTGCCCAGCACCAAAATGACTGCCAACATTACCCCTGTTGGATTCAAGGTTACTGTCATACTTGTGTGTGTCTTGTGTGCTCTCTGGGTGGTACCCTTATTTAAGCCACCTTTACAGCATGAAGCACATGAAAACACTGTGTTTTTTCTTTCTTTCTTGGCTATGCTTCTGACTTCCCTTCCCCTTACTTTTACTACGAGTCCTAAGAGAATTGTCTTGAACACGTGCTTGCAAAATCAAAGTTAGAGGCTGGTAGTTTGATTTCTTTTTTCACAAGAGGT